AGGTCTCGCTGCCCAGGCAGGTCTCAAACCCGCGGGCTCAGGCAATCCACTCACCTCAGCATCCCAAAGGCGCGGGATTACAGGCTGAGCCACCAAGCCCGGCTGCTGTTGCCATTTTGTAGGTGAGGAAACTAAGGCATAGACAATGGAAGTCACTTGCTCAAGGCTGCACAGTAGTAAGGGGTATGGAAGGGCTTCCACCCCAGAAGCCAGAGACCACCTGCCCACTGTTCCTCTTCCATGCTGTGTACCCTTCCTCTGTCTGTCCCACCACCCCTGCCTCCAGTCACCACCCTGGGCTGTTGGGAGGCTCACTTGAGGCTGTGTCTACCCTTGAGTGCTGAGGGTCATGACAAGGGCCTCAAAGCCTCTCCTATCCTAGTAGCCGGGGTCTGCCCTAGAGCATTCCCACCCCATCCCCCACCTGCCTGGCTCTGCTCTCTGCCTCCTACTGTCCTGTCTGCTCCATCTGCTCCAGGGCAGCCCCTGGAGACTTGGAGGTGGCGCCTCTCCAGCCGAGCAGCCCAAGACAGGGTTCTCTGGAGTCTGCCAGGGAAGCAGGCGTATCTCTCCTGACTTAGAGCAGATCAGAAGCCTGTCCATAGATCAGAAGCCTCTCCCTGGCTGAGTACTGGCCTAATGGACAGAAAGGTGGAAATGGCCTCCTGGTGATAAATGTCCCTGACAGGCTTTTAGCAGCCCAGGCAATAGCCCACCAGACCGGCTAATGTCTGCTAATGCTGCTGGTCCTCGGTGTAAAGCCCTATTAGGCACAGAGCGATCTGCTGGCCTGGAGTAGGGCGGAGGGAGGCTGTCCCTTGTTGTCCACTGAAAAGGAAGAGTTGTTGTTAGGGCTGGGACCTATGCTGGGACTGGCTGAGAGGAGCATTGGCCCCCAAGCTCCACCTAGCCCTAAAGCACCTTCCCTGAGTATGTGGCTCCCAGCAGAGGTCCCAGCCCTAAACAACTCCTGGCAGCAGGTCCAGGTGTGAATTGGCCTCCTGGGCAGTTTGCCTGCTGGGACCTGAAGAGCAGCCTAACAATTCACTTTTCCTGGGAAATCTGCCATGCAGAAATTAGGGCATGGCCCCAGGCCAGAGGGTAGCGTAAAGGCCCTGAGAGCAATCAGTGGTCCCCTAGCAAGTAGCAAGAGCCCCGGGACTGCCCATGCCCTTTGACCCAGGAAGTGATCCCAGAGAGGGAAAGGCTGTGTGCGAGGAGAGGGCCAGGACACTGACAGCAGGAACACAGCCAGGCTCATGCTTGAGGGGCTTAAGCCCAGCTCTGCCCTTTGCAGTGACCCTGGGCAAGTTTCCTTCCGGTCTGGGTTTCCCCAATGCTGGGCTCGGTGAGCAGGTGCTGGGGATGCCTGCCGCGGGGATGGGATGAGAGGGCTCAGCCGTGTGTTCACCATTCCTGGTCTCCAGAGCCCTTCAAGCTCTGCAGTTTTAGAGCAGATTTTTGGCTAATTCTGGAAAGACCCATCTTTTCAAAAAATCTGTAATTTTGTTTTTAAACACCTTTTTTACTGCAAAATTTACATAGCTAAAAAGAAAGACAAAGAAGATAAAAGCCACCTGTCTCACCATCTAGATAAAACCACAATTAGCATTTTGGGGCATTTTCCTTCTAGTTTTTTTCTGTTTCCATATACAGATAGACACGTGTGTACATATACACATGTATACAGATTTTTTTTTTTTTTTGAGTTGGAGTCTCACTCTTGTCACCCAGGCAGGAGTGCCGTGGCACATTCATGGCCACCACAGCCTCGACCTGTTGGGCTCCGGCGATCCTTCTGCCTCAGCCTTCCAAGTAGCTGGAACTACAAACGCACAGCACCACGCCCAGCTAGTTTTTGTGATTTATTGTAGAGACGAGGTCTCACTAAGTTGCACAGCCTGGTCTCAAACCCTCGGGCTCAGGCAATCCTCTCGCCTCGGCCTCCAAAGTGCTGGGATTACAGGCTGAGTCACTGCGCCCGGCCACATATACAGATATTAATTCTACTGTTATTGATCGCTTGCTATACACCTTGCTGTTGGGGTATCCGTGCATAATATCTCATTGAACTCCTACCCCAATCCTGCAAGGAAGAGGTTATTGTGCACATTTTATAGATGAGGATAAGGAGGATGCAGAAGTTGAGCAGGTGCACAGCATGCTCAGATTTTAAATGTTGAAAGCACATCGTGAGGACAGTGTACAGAATGTTCTGGAGGCCAGGCAAGAGGTCAGTGGCTGGTGCAATGGTCCCATGGAGACCTGAGCTAGTTACTGTAGGTGCAGTGTCCTCTCTCCACGGCCCTGGCTCCAGGCGCTGCCTCATTAGGATTGGGCGGGTAACGTGCACAGTCTCCTCCTGTGCAGGGGCTCATTTCTTTCAAATGTGGAGGAGACAGACCATTGGAAAGAAATGGAATTTTCGCTTACTCCCTCATACATCACTAACAAATGACACAAGTCCAAATTCTTAGGCCGGGTGCGGTGGCTCATGCCTATAATCCCAGCACTTTGGGAAGCTGAGGTGAGAGGATTGCCTGAGCCCATGGGTTTGAGACCAGCTTGGGCAACCTGGTGAGACCTCATATTTACATTAAATTAAAAAATTAGCCGGGTGTGGTGGTACATGTCTGTCGTTCCAGCTACTTGAAAGACTGAGGCGGAAGGATCACCTGAGCCCAGCACGTTGAGACTGTGTTGGCCGTGAGGGTGCCACTGCAGCACTCCAGCCTAGGTGACAGAGTGAGACTCCAACTCAAAAGAAAAAAGAAATTCTTTTTTTTTTTTTGGTTCTCTTTCTCTTCCTCCCCTCTCCCTCTCTCTCCCTTCTGTCTCTGTCTCTCTTCCATCTCTGTTTCTCTCTCCCTCTCCCTGTCTCTCTCTGAATGTGTAGATGTGTTTATAACTTTTTTCTCAGAACCATTTGAGGGTCAGGTACATACATCTTATCCCTTTATCACTAAATACTTCAGTATTTCCTAAAAATATGAGCTTCCTTACATACCACAGGGCATTATCAACTTCAGAAAGTTTAACGTTGCAACAATACTTTCATTTCATCTGTCATCTGTTGTTTGTGTTCAGATTTGTTAAATGATGTCCTTTCTAGCATTCTCCCCTCCAGTAGGGGATCCAGGCTAGGGTGATGGCTCTAATTGCTTTTGGATGGGGCAAATTATTTCCAGAGGGGAGTCCGGAACCCCTCCTCTGTTTGCAGAGCTACTAAAATACATGCACAAGCCCCCAGCAACAAGGGGCTTGAGAGTCTGCATTTCCTCAGTTGCCAGAGTTGATCCGGGAAATCCTTTACCCATTCTCACAGCAGCCACCTGCTTTGCAGCCCTATCAAGCAAGTTCAGACCATCACTGCATCTTTGCTGGGTTAGGACAGGTCGGTCATGGACTCAAGGGTGTTGCACAAAAGTCTCTGCAGAGTCAGGAAGGAGAGGAGATTGGGTGTTCCTAGAAACCACTCTGTTCTTGAAAGTTCCTTTGCAAAAATTCCTGAGCACAGGGAGCCGGGATCGCACCACTGCACTGCAGCCTGAGTGACAGAGTGAGATTCTGACTAAAAAAAATCGTGAGACTGTTGATTCTGTGAAGCCAGGGGCTATGCTACGTGTCCCTCGCATCCAGCACCTCAGATAGGGCCTGCCCCCTAAGTACCTCATGAATAGTTGCTGAGTAGGTGGGTTTTGGTCAGCTTTCTTCTCTGCTGTCTCTTTCACTGAGATATAAAAATGGTCGGGGGAGCATTCTGGTGAGTGGGCTGCAGACCCAAGACCAGATGGTGGATGTGGGGATGGCTGTGCTGGCAGGCAGGGGTTGGTCCTGGTTCCTGTTCTGCTGGAGCTATGGAGAGTGATGTGCAGAATGAGTGACTTGGTTACTGCCAGTCCAAGTTTCTATGACGGGTGCGGTTGCTCTGTGACTCCAGGAAATCTGTGTCTACTGGTGGAGTTGGAAATCTTGGCTTCGGGGCTGTGTGGCCATTTGGCTGTGGGATCTCTGTGTCCCTCCCAGAACCATACGGGGATTCCTTTTTTTTTTTTTTTTAAGTTGGAGTCTC